CGACTGAGCGGAGATTAAAAAAAAAAAAAAAAAGTTCCATTGGAAGAGATGTCCCCATGTAAGAAAGGAAATAAAAATAATAAATATTCTTTTGAAAAACAAGGAGTGTGTCTGCTTGTGGCCTATATCCAGTGTTGTACAAGTGAACTTCTACTGATAAAATAATTTTTCCATTGTTCTCTCCCTACCCAACCACTGTATCCTCCAGTATCCCCTAAATCAATTCCAGAAATCTCCCAGCCATCTGGAGGAGATTTAAATGTATCTGCAAACAGCAGGAGAGGTCATCCATTTTGTTGGCAGATGCTGTTCCCTCAGTGGACAGATATAATGGAATATTGTCCTATCTTTCTTATAAGTGACTAACGTTCATTCGGTCTAAGGAGATAATGGGTTCTCTTAGTGAGATGTTTTCAATCGGAGGCTGGATAGACATTTGTAAGACGTTTTATTTGTAATTTAATTTTTATTCTTGCATTGAACAGGGATTGAACTTGATGGACTAAATGGCCTGTTTCAACTCTTTGGTTCCAAAAAAACCCTCTCCTTGGGATGTTGCTAACTAGTGTTAGAACTGCAGCATTGTCAAAATATTGTTAGTGCTTGATCATGGGTGTATACTGGGTGGTACTTCCACAAATATCCATGAAATCATTGACTCAGACAATGTATATTATTCAATCCTTTTTGTGAATTCTTAGTGGAACAAAAGAGTTCACCCTTGATTTGTGAAAATATTTTATTGTAATTTAGGAGTATTTTGACATTTGTGCAAGGAGGCCAGAGAGCACAAAGAACAGGACTTGTAGCAGACCCCCTAATTTTTTATTTATTTATTTATGTATTAATTAAAATACAATTAAAACCATATTCATACATAAATAATAATATCTTCCAAGGTGCAATAATACCTTCCAAGGTGCAGTCTGTAGTGAAAAATGTAGGCTCCACCATAATACTGATTGGGCATCCTAAAAGTTGAAATAGGGCATATGCCCAATACATAAAAATGACTGGTTGGAAGTCTTGTGCATGAATTCTCATAATTACCATTTGTGAATGGAATTTGTAATTTTTTCTTTATCTGCTTTCCTATCCTTCTAGCTATATCACCTCAGTCAGATTGGGAATGGAAACAAAGCTCACCTCCATCTTGTATAATTTATAAGTTACCTAGAAATCTTCAGGAGAGTGTTTAGACAGTGAGCTTGAATCTGTAGGAGTGCTTTGTAATAATGGAGAGATTGTTTTATCCTTAATTTCTTGTGAAAAAATGTTATTCCAGCCAAGTGATATGTCATAGAAGCTACATTATGTTTTAACATTCTATCAAATGAACTCTTTCCCTATCCCTGTGTTTCAATGATGCTATTGCTTTTCTGAAGCTATTGACAATACAACTAGTTTTCAGTATTACCTTACAGACCAGTTTTGGATACAGCAATAAAAATATTACAGTATACTTTACAGATGGTCCTCAGGTCATGATCACTCATTCAGTGACCATTCAAACTTGCAATGGTGCTGAATGAGAGGGATTTATGACCGGTCCTCAGAGTTCTGGCTGTTGCAGTGTCCCCATGGTCACATGATGTGATCCAGGTGCTTGGTGCCTGGCTTGCAATTACGATATCACAGTGAGCTGCAGTTATGTGATCACAATTTCCAACGTTCCCTACCAACTTCCAACAAGCAAAGTCAATGGGAAAGCCAGCAGGAAGTTGGAAATCGCAGTCACATGAGGTCCTCATTTAATGACGTGCACGGTCCTCGCTGAATGATGGCAACCAGGACTGCTGGAATTGCTGTTGATAAATGGCGCAGTCACCTGATGGCACGCTTTACAATCACATCGCTTTGTGATGGCAATTCCACTCCCAATTGCTGTCATAACCCAAGAACTACCTGTATTATTATTTGTCATGGTTGTATACTATCAATTTCTGGCAGAGCCAGCCCTCTGTAACAATGGAACATATATCAGCAGCAAAATATTCATTCCAGCATGCCTTACATACACATATTCCATGAAATAAAGTCAAAAGAATTTCAAAATGTTTAATAATTTAAAATAGTCATTTCTTTTTATTTCAGAAATAGAGATCCTCAAATCAGTAAATCATACACTTGGTTCCTTACTTCATTCATCGAATGAAGATTTTTTTTAATCTTAATTTTCTTTTTGTTGCAGCCCTTGCAAGGGATAAAGCAAGATGGAGGAATAGTGAAAAAGTTGAAATCTGCACATTCTTTCTTGTGATGTGGTGTTGATCAAATGTTGTAGGATCTTTATTCAATGCTGAAGGAGACCAGTGGCTTTCCACTGAGACTATCCATTTTGGCAATGTCATTCTCAGTTTTTTTTTTTCCCAGATTGCATGAATCTCATATAAATATCTACAACTTCTACCCTCACTTCAGTGTTCAATATTCAAGATGAATAGTTTCCTTGATGTGACTTCAACTTCCTTGTTTTAAACTGTTGAGTTTCAGTATCCCAGCAACAGAATATTAATTAATATTATTGCTAATTCAGGATGACCCACAGAGAGGCTTGTCAGGGTGAAATGTAAATGGCTCCCCTAGCTTAATATAGAATAATAAAAAACTTCAAAACACCACTATGTATTCATAAAAAATCCTACAAACTTGAGAACCCCTCAAAAAACTTTTTTTTTTTGACACTGGAACTGTACTTTGGCTAAAGTATCTGGGGGAATAGCACAACTTCTTAAAAATAATAGGTATGTCATATTTAAAAATATGCAGAAATCTCAAATTAACTCACATACATATTGATGGTCATCAGATCCCAGAGTGACATGACATACAGGCCAGGGTTATCAGTCCTTCACTTGGTATTGAAAAACAGCCTTTAGGTGGCTCTGGCTGCAGCATAATATTAAGGTAGAAAAAGGATGATTTTAAATTTTGGTAATCCAATTGTGGAAGGTTGGGTCTTTTTGTTTTGTTTTCCTGAATCAGAACTGACTTGGTGAACCAG